TGATGGCTCAGAGCCTGGAGCCTGTTTCCGATTCTGTGTCTCCCTGCCCCTCCTGTCTCTCTGCCCCTCCTCCGTTCATGCTCTGTTTCTCTCTGTCCCCCAAAAATAAACGTTGAAAAAAAAAATCACAAATTTATCCTAACACCCCTATTCTACCCCCAACACCACAGGATTCAGTCTAGCCTTCCCTCTCTATTTGACTCTTCTTTCTGTGACATGGAGAACACTGGCTCTCATTACCACAATATATACTTATTGGTTCGGACCTGTACATACATAAGGTAGTTTCAGAATGACTGACTTATATGCCTGTAAGAAACAAATTTACTAACTAGGGTATGATATTTATATAGTCTTTCTACCTTTAGCCTTAAACCACATAGTCGTGTACTGCTTTCGCAAGTTACTGAAGTTAGTTCTTTGCTTCCCCACCCTTCAGGATGGTTATGCTATCTATTTACATTAGGTTCATTTGCTACTGTTCATGTTCCAGCTTCAGTGCCCACCCACCCCCCAACATCCTGGTTGATTTTAGTATTTTCCTGTAATAGGCTATGTACAACATTACCTTGGTCCTAAGTGTCAGCGCTATACAAAAAGGCATTCTCAGAGAAGTGCTATCCAACCCCTATTTCCCTATTCTTTCTGCCCCATCCCCTCCCACTGCTGCAGGTAACCAGTCTCTTTAGTTTCTTGTTTATCCTTCCTGTATTTCTTTTATACAAGCAAACAGATATATATTTTTTTTTCCTATGCCTTTCTTGTAAGAATGGCAGCATACTATGGATACAGATACTGTGTTGACGTCGATTTTTTCATTTAATGATACTAAACGTAGAAATTCCATATCAATTTATAAAAATCTGCCTCATTTTTCTTTATAGCTGCAAGTATTCCAGTGATGGCTATGCCATCATTTATTCAGTCATCCTTCTGCATGTGAACATTTAGGTCATTTCCAATATTTTATCACTATAAACAATGCACCCATGAATAACCTTACACACATGTATTTTCATAGTGTTGTAAGTATACCTTCATGGTTAGATTCCTAAAGATGAGATTGCTGAGTCAAAAGGTAAGTGCGTAGTGGTTGTGTTAGGCAGGCATTGCTAAATGTCCCTACAAAAGAGTGGTACCACTTTGTACTCCCACTGACAATGTATGAGGGTGCCAATTTCCCCACAGCTTCATCAACAGAATGTATTCTCATACTCTTTCTTCCCAGTTTGACAGGTAAGAAATAGTATCCCAGCCTTTTTTTCATTTGAATTTTTTAAATTGTGAGTGTGTTCAGACATTTTTTTTTTCCAAATGTTTCAGGTCCATTTTTACATCTTTTGTGACTCTTCTTTCATGTTTTTACCCATTGTCTTTGTTTTTAATTTATTTATTTAAATTCGAGTTTAACATACAGTGTAGTATTGGTTTCAGGAGTAGAACTTAGTGATTCATCACTGACATGTAACACCCAGTGGCCATCCTAACAAGTGCCCTCCTTAATGCCCATCACCCATCTAGCCCACCCCCTCCACCTCCCATTTTCTATCAGGTCTCTGGTCCCTTGTCCCTCAAATGTTAAGAGTTCTTTATATGTTAGGGGTATTAGCTCTTTATTTGTGGCATATGCTGCAAATATATCCTCCCGGTTTGTTAGCTGTCTCTTTACTTTATCATGGTTTTTTACTATGCAAATTTTTTTAATGTTTATTCATTTTGAGAGAGATAGAGACAAAGGGATTTAGAACAGGAGCAGCGGAGGGGCAGAGATTGGAAGAAAGAGAATTCCAGGCAGGCTCTGCACTGTCAGCACAGAGCCTGACGCAGGGCTCAAACGCACGAACAGTTAGATTATGACCTGAGCCAAAATCAAGAGTCAGATGCCTAACCGATTGAGCCACCCAGGCAACCCTACTATGCAAGTTTTTCTGTAGCCAAATCTGTCAGTATTTTCTTTTATTGCTTCTTAATTCTGAGTCACAGAAAATCTTTCCTTATATTTAGACTAAAGAGGAATTCACCCATGTTTTCTTCTAATACTAACATGGTTTTATTTTTTATATGTAGATCCCCAGTCCATTTACAGACTGTTCTTATATATTATGTGAGATATGGACCTAATTTTATCTTTTACAAAATGATTACCCTATTGTGTCAGCACCATTCATGAAAATGTAATTAGAGGCAACCTTTATCCTAATACCAAAGGTTCATAGATACCTGGGTCAATCTATGGGTTTCTTTTCTATTCCATTGGTCTATTTGTCTATACTGTTTTAACCAGAGGCTTTATAGTAAATAAATAATAACTGATAGGGCTAGTCTCCACTCATAATTTGTTGTTTTCAGTGTTTTCTTGACTATTCTTGCGTATTTATTTTTCCACATGAACTTTAGTATCAATTTGTCTAATTCCATAGAAGAGCTTGTTTGGTATTTTTATTGGGTTTGAATTAAATTTGTAAACTCAGGAAGAACTGACATCTTTCTAATGTTGAATCATTCTATCCAAGATCGCAAAAATGTCTTTCCATTTGCTCAAGTCTACTGGGCTTTTTCAAAAGGGTTTCAAACCTGTTTTTGTTTTTTCAAAAAAACCTTTTTTTTCCCTTTATATGGGATTTACACATTATCGTTAAGCTTATTTCCAAGTATTTCTTCTTTGTTGCTATTGTAAATGGGATTGCTGTACTATTGTATCCTAACGGGCTGTTATTTGTGCATATGAAGGCTATTAATTTTTGTGTGGTAATTTTATCAGCAGATAACATCCTGCTACCTTTAATGTTTGAGGTAACTTTATCATTGCTTCTCTAGGGTTTTCCAGATATACTATTCTAGTTTGTGAATTAGAGTTTTGCTACTTTGTTACCATTCTTATACCAGTAGTTGATTTCTCTTGTCTAATCACATTAGTTAATATCTCTAGCATGATGGCAAATAGTCATGGAAATAGTGGGCATCCTTACTTGGTTCCTGATCTTAGTGGAAATGCCTCTAGTGTTTCCCCATTAAATAAAATAATGGATTTAGTTCTAAGGTATAACAAGTTTATCATATTAAGAAATATCCCACAGGGGCGCCTGGGTGGCTCAGTCGGTTAAGCGTCCGACTTCGGCTCAGGTCACGATCTCGGGTCCGCGAGTTCGAGCCCCGCGTCGGGCTCTGGGCTGATGGCTCAGAGCCTGTATCCTGCTTCCAATTCTGTGTTTCCCTCTCTCTCTGCCCCTCCCCCGTTCATGCTGTGTCTCTCTCTGTTTCAAAAATAAATAAACGTTAAAAAAAATTAAAAAAAAAAAAGAAATATCCCACAATTCCTGATTTGTTGAGTGTTTTTTTTTTTAATCACGAATAGGTGTTGAAACTACCTTGTGATTTTGAAAACTGATAAATAAAGGGAAAGAACCAAGCATTTATCCTACCTTTTCTATATAATCTAAACTTGAGAGTAACCAAATATAAGGTTGGAAAAGTTTCTCTTTGCAGAAATTCTACTTTGCAGTAATTCTACTCCAGCTAGTAAACAAAGAAGAAATAATAAGAATATCACTATTTTGCAACCTCTAATGACACAGTCAGTCTAGGGGCACCTGAGTGGCTCAGTGGTTGGGTGTCTGACTCTTGATTTTGGCTCAGGTCAGGGTCTCATGGTTCATGGGTTCAAGCCCCATGTCAGGCTCTGCACTGACAGTGTAGAGCCTGCTTGGGATTCCCTCTCTCCCTCTCTCTCTGCCCCTTCCCCGCTCGTGCTTGTTCACTCCACTATCTCTCTCAAAAATAATAAACATTTAAAAAATAATCAATCAAGTTGAAGATCATCAATAGCTTCCACATTCACAAAAAGAAACACACCAGGCATTAAATACTTCCTGATAAAAGAATACACACTACTTATGAAGTAGTCTTGAGATATATGTGTGTGTATGAGTGTATATATACATATATATATATATATACGTATAATCAATTCCCATATATACTATATTATAATATATATTTTTTAATATTAGAGCCAGAGAGAAAGAGCCTGAATTTGATGAGGATTCTAGTTCTAAGCACCAATATACAAGAGATATAAGAGACAGAGGGAAATGTCAAACACCAGTATAGGGATGTAGTCAGTAAAAATACAGTCCTGGGAAACTCGGCTGAACAAATTAACTGATTTCTTAAACAAAAATTCAAGGGGGAAAAAAGAGAGCAAAATGGAGGGGAAACATACATGCTAAAAGAAACTTTAAAGACATATCAACTAATTGCAATGTATGAGCCTTATCTGGATCCCAATTCAAATAAACGAGCTACAATAAAAAAACATTTAAGACAGTTTAAGGCAAGGCAACACTGAAGACAATTGCGGCAATAGGAATGTTAACTGGATGTTTGGTTATATTAAGGAATTGTTGATTCTTTTTTAGTTATGTCAACATTTTTGTCACTCTTGTTAAAAAGTAAGTCCTTATCTTTTGGGGAAACATGAAATATTTACAGGTAAAGTGATATTATGACCGGGATTATGTGGGAGGATGTGGGAGGATTTATAAAACAAGACTGGACAGTATTGATCATAGTTGAAGCTGGTGGTAGGGTCTATCAGTTTCATTATTTCCTGTACCTTTGTATAAGTTTGAAATCGTCTATAACAAAAAGTGTGTTTTTTTTAAAATTCTGCATTTATTAGAGTTAACGTTTAGACCCAATGAGATCATGTACTCTGGAACATGGTGTAAATGGTCAGGCACATCCCAACCATAAGCAGTGGGCACCACTGTCTGTCACTGAACCCTCAAGGGAAAGTGGCAGTGAGGTAGCCTCTGGCTGTCACCTCCTACACCTCCCTCCACAGGCACAGAGAGCACCCAAGGTCCCTGTTGGGCAAGGAGGGGTTCTGACATTTTCCCCAGGAGCCCAGTGACAAGATTCCTTCCTTCTTTTCCACCCCTCTAAGGATTCCCAGACCCTTGGATTTCTCCCTCCTGCAAGGGAAGTCCCAAACTCACATCATTCTCCGAGGTCCCACAAAGGATGCAGGATTTGCACTCTATGCACTGCCACTTGTAGGTCTTGACGGCCTCGGTCATGTTCAGGGTGAACTGCAGGCAGGTTGGGTGACCTGCAAGAAGCAGAAATGGCAGCATAAGGGCCACAGGATCTGACCTGTCACCCCTCAACATCACTTTAACCAAAAACACATTTATGCCCAACTTAGAGGAAGGGCAGGTAGCACAGGCTGGGAAAAAACTGGGCCCCTACCCACACCCCTCACAGCCACCTGCAGTTACATCAGATCAAGGCCCAAGAGAGATATTGGCATTAACCCTGTTACCGGGGATAGATGCCATCCACGTCCTCTTGCCCTAAGAGTCGCGTCCCCTTGAAGGTGTAACCGGTCGATGAGGACAGAAAGTGGCGATCAGAGAGGAAGAGAAGGGAAATTGTGGAGTGTACTTTACAAGGCAGCACCATGAAAGTGACCAGCATTTCGACCCAAACCTCAGCATCAACCGTGACAGGAGCAACACATAAGAGCTGTTTGGAGCTAGGCCTTCCAACCTGCACAGTTGTCCACATTCACACTGCCTCCAGGCACAAGGAGGAGGTCAGAAGGAGTGTGTGAGCTTTCCCAGGGCAGAGTTCAGGGGCTCTATGAAATAGCACTGCACTGCTATGTAAAGAATCCATGCCCACACCCAGGACACTAGTGGAAGTCCACGCCCTGCACGGTAACAGGAACCATGGAGGAGAGCGGCCTGGCAGGCAGGGCAAAAAAGTGTACCATAGCATCACAATGACCAGGTCTATCCACTGGTCCTTACTCTTCTCCATCCCAAGTATCATGTTAGCCAAACCATTAGCAAATCAGGGGTGGACACTAATTGGGGATGGACATTAAGCTGTGACCTAAGAGCACACAGTCCCAGTGGCCCATCATCCAAGGCTTGGCATGAAGGGCTGGACTCTCTTTGCAGCCATGGCACACCCAAAAGAGAGATGCCAGCCCTGAGAGAGCAGCTATGAGCCATAGAATGTGAAGACTCTTGGCCTTCTATTTGGCAGGGAAGAGAAACTTGGGTGATGTTCCCAGGTTTTGCAGGAATCTGCCCACAGCACCCAAGGCAATGTCCATGACTGACTCTGTCACAAAAGAACTGGGAGCTCTGCTGGGGGTTCACCCTTTTCCAGAGCCCCCAGCTCCACCAAACCCACCACATAGTGTATTGCATTGCTTCTTGCTTGTAAGGGAACGTGTTCTCCCAAAGAAGAATACTACAGAGAGGGGACCCCAGTTAGAGCCAGTCCTACCAACCTAGTACCCTCCACAGATAGTCAGGACCCCATATGGTAGCACCACCCCTTGGCAAAGCCACATCCCAGAAGGAGGTCCCCATTTCCTCCCTTCCAAATATTCAGAGGGCTGGTTACATTGTGGTCATTCAGGAACATGCTGTCTATTCAGTCAACATAAGGATCCTTCAAATATGAGCGTCCACAAATATAAAACTCACGGAGTCCTCTCTGAGAGAATAAGAGTGGGGATGGAAATGACTCATCAGTGCGGAGCACGGGGGACACTTAGCAAGGAACACACAGAAGCATCGAGAGAGGGCAGATCTAAAAGCTTTTCAAGGACTCACCAGGTGCCATCCAACTTAGAAGTTCCCACAACTCTGAATTAATAAGGCTCTCAAAGTGCCACCATGGCAATGACCCAGAGAGAAACAAGCCCAGATGAATATCCAGCTGATATTCTTGAAAACATCTCAAAGATCTGTCTAAGAATGACACAGGGTTGTTCTCAATTCCAATCTCCCAGAAAGAATACTGGGGTGGGAATGAGAGAGAAAACACCAGCTTGAGGTTCTGAGTGGTATGGGCTGTGGATGTCCAGGTTCTCAGACAGGGCACCCTTGGGTAGGTTGAAGATGAGTCCACGGAGCAGATACCCATATATGCAAGTCGATTTTGCCCAGTTCTGTGGCTTCATCCCAGCCACAACCAGCTGTCTTGAGATAATTGTTCATTAACTTAACAGGCATTCCCTGAGCACCTGCTAGGCCACTCATTGCATTAGACAAAAAAAGATACAGTGGTGAGCAAGGCACCCCAAACCCCTCTAATGCAGCCAGAGAGAACTCAAATTAATAAGCTACATGCACACTTACCGTTGTGTGATAGGTTCCATGAAGGAAAATCATAATGAAACAAACCACAGTAGAACCTCACCTAGTCAGAGATGTCAAGGAAACCATCCAAGCAAGATCTTTAAGCTGATACCTGACAGATAAAGGGGACTTAGCTGGTTTGGAGGAGGGAGGGTGAGAGGCAGTAGAGAGGTACCTGGAGCCAGATTACACAGGGACCTAGAGCCCTTATTTAAGGATTCGGGGCTTGAAAATCATTAAAGGGTTTTAAGCAAGGCGTTGACTGGATCACACTGTGTTTTAAAGGAGCATTCTTTAGCATGAGAGACCTTTGGGGTGATGAAGCAGTCTGTACCTTGATGGTGGTGGCGATTACATATGTGGAAGATTGCATAGAGCCGTACATATACACACATGAGTACTCATGCATGTGTATGCCTGTAAAACCAGTAAAATGTGAATAATTGCATCGATGTCAGTTGCCTGGCTTTGAGAGTGTACTATAGTTATGTAAGCCGGTACCATGGGGAGAAACAGAGCAAAGGGTGCACGGGACCTCTGTGTAATATATTTTTGTAACTTTCTAAGAAGCTATCATCATTTCAAAATAGAAAGTTGAAAGGATATTTTTAAATAAGGAAAGCACAAATAAAGATTCAAATCATCAAAAAGGAAGGTAGGAAGGAAGAAGCTGCTGTCTAAAAAAAGAATGTGTTGGGGAACAGGGGGAAAGGGAGGTATAAGAATTGCTGCCAGGAAGCCAGTCAGAAGCTACTGGGAGAGAGACAAGGATGGTTAAGCTAAGGTGGAGATTTCAGAGTATTAAAGAAATCACTGATAGGACTCAACAACTGTTTGAATGTTGGGAGTGTGGGGAGAAAGAGATGATGAGAATATTCTCAAGGTTCTGGATCTAAGAACCTGGGTGGGTTATGCAATAGCTTTACTCAGACGAGAAAGACTATAATAAGCATAGAAGGACTTGATGCAGAGCAGGGAGAGAGGGCTTCTCTCTGTCTGGGGCATGTTGAACTTGGGAAGTTTGGGAGACTTCTGGTAGAAATGTCAAGTGGAGAGTCAAATATATGGATTTATAACTCAAGAGAGAAACATGGACTAGACATATAAATTTAGGAGCCGTTGCTAAATAGGTGGTCATCGAAACCACGAGAATTAATGAAGTCATCGAAGAGAAGGGCAAAGGGAAGAGAAAGGATGAGGAGAGAACAGAGGGGAGAGAAAAAGGTCTAGGACTGCACATAGAGAACTCAACTATTTAACAATGAAAATAAAGAACCAAGAGAGGAGACTGGGAAGGATGGCCAGGGAGGTAGATACAAACTATGCAAGCATGGGGTCAGAGCAGACAAAAGAAGAGATTTCAAGGAGAAAGGGTGGTCAGTTGTGTTGACTTCCACAGGTTCTTGGTTTATCGTTGCTTAATAAAGACCCAGAGTGAGGGAGTGTTGACAGATCAGAGCAAAAGCTGCCCTACTAATAGTAACACTCCAGGAGTGTCATCTTCCCTAGGAAGGAAGGTCAGCACATTCCAGAACATGACATGGAATTCAGTAGCCAAATGTGCATGTGGGGCTGCCTCTGTGGGTAGGGATGGAGGATGGCATGTGTGCTTTGTGCCAACAACATTCCACAAATATTTATTAAGAGCTAATTCTATATTCAAGTTCTCTTAGACCACTGTGCCAAGCTCTGAAGACATTTTCTGGAATAGCTTTGGACCAGTGAACAGTAGCAAGTGGTTTCTGGAAACTCCTGTTGGAAGTCTCTGAAAATATCCTATGGGCTTTTTCTGTGTTTCTGTCTTGAGAAAGTCATCAGGGCCCCCAAAGGGAACAAAGCTCACACAGCCTACCCCGACTCCTAACACCCCCAGTAAAATGCAGAAGTAGGATTAGCCTCAGCACTAGCTACAGAGCTCTGTCAGCTCAAAATTCAAGGCATCACTGAAGATCAAGAGGAAAGTAGAGAATGCAACGTCTTAGCTGGGGAGGGTGAGGCACAAGAAGTTAAGTCACACAAGCAGCCATTAGCAGGTGCAAAAATTATGTCTAAAACTAAATCCTCTGTGTTGTCACAACAGGTTGACTGCCTGTTGTCTGTCTCTAATAACTGGAAAAATCATTTGCTAGATAAAACTGTAAGAATACAAATTCTTATCTACCATAGAAATGACTGAAATAATGCATACTGTTGGACAAAGGAAAAAGTTTCTAAGGAAAATGCTAGTAACCCATTCCTGAGTTTGAGTCCGAAAACTCCTCATTTTTGCCCAGAACTACTTTCTAAAATCCTTGGAAGTAAGACAGTAGATATAGTCTTCCAATTCAAGGGTAGAAAAAAGAGACACATTGGTGTAAAAAAAATTTTTACTTATAGTCACTTGCTACTTAAAGATGCCCATTTCAACTCTTTTGTAAAGTTAACTATCATTCTGTAAGGCATTTGCTTGGAAATTTAGTTTTTCTTATCTCCAGCCTCCTTAAAGCAAGGAATACCTGTATTGCTATTTAAATAGCCCTATGGAGTGAAGGGGAAACAACCCTTCCCAGGTCTCTGTGGGCGAGATGAATCAACAGGACATTTATAAGATTCCAATTACCAAAATGAATTTAGAAAGTGCTGCAGTGTGAATGACTCATCCCAGCCAGATCATTAGAAACCAAGTCCTTCCTGAGTGTTCCACCAAATTTCTTCCATCAGGAGGGCTCAGTAAATCTTCTGCCTGCTTATTTAGTTGGTCCTATAGTGACTTGGTGTGAAGATGCATTCCTAATCCAGCTCTAACTCCTTCCAAAATTGACCTCCATCCTCTGTAAAAGTTGAAAAAAATTTAACACATGGTCACCAACGTGCTAGAAACCTAACTTCTGAACAGTGTTTTCAGACAATAGGAATTTGGCTCCAGGGTGCTATTGCAGAAGGTAGGAAGAAAAGGGAAACCAGTAGGATT